TATTCCGAGGAGGTCTCCCATCCAAGTACCTGCCAGAGTCGACCCTGCTTAGCTTCCGTGATCTGAGGAGAGCGGGCTCGCCTGGGCTATCCAGGTCTGGGCGCCAATATGTGTTTTTGTGTCACTGCGGTATGTGCATTAACCCTCTTTCTTTCCCCGGGATGCTGAGGTTGCCCAGACAGGCAGGAATATGTCCACTATGCGTTTGGAATGGACATCTTATTGACTGAATTTTGACTTTGGATTTATATGTCATTTTGCCGACTGACTGGCAGCAGCTCTGTAGGGATTCAGGCCGAGAAAGTACTTTTAAAACCAACACATATCCTTAACACACACACACACCCTCGGTCATTGCCTACTGAGCTTTGCCTACCTGAGATGTCGATAAAGAGCAGGACGCCATCGAAATTTTCAATGGATGGTATCTCCTGGGAGAGGTCACCAAACACGATAAGGTCAGGGATGTGAGCGGCTACTTTACCGATGGTGGAGATCTCAGTCTTATGGGGGACAGCCCCTGTGGTTGGCGATGGCGGACTCATCGCGGCAGAGTTCCAGAGATGCGAAGGCCTCCAGTCTCCTGCAACGGTCCCTCGAGAGTGAGGGCCTGGCCCATTACTTTAGTCTCTGTGTTGCCAAGGTATGTGTCACAATGGACTGACAGCAGCTACCCCCTCCTGTGAAAGTGATGCCTCCTTGAACAAGTGTTGCTAAGCTAGGTATGCTCATTAGCTACCTAATGTTAGAGAAGCACGGTCAGATGCCAGCCAAAGCTGTTTGGTATCTCTCTCTGTATGATGTGTTTCTCATGCTAAGATCTGTGGGCGATAATCTCCAAACTAAACACCCATTTTCTCAATAAGAAGAGACCACCAACAAAAAAATTATTTAACTGCCTTCTCACCGCCCACTCCAGGGGCCTACCGTCACCCAAAGACCCATCCCCATGCTGAGAGCCACAGTCTCCAGGGTTCCCTCTATTCCAGAGGTACAGAGAAGCTCCATCTTGTATCAAACTTGTGAATAATGTGCTCTGTATGAAAGAAGAGTGCAAAACTATGCAAGTTTCCTTCTGTTTCCCCTACACAGGTATTCTTCCTGTGCATTTCACACACACACACACACACACAAAACATTTGGCATACCTGTTAGGCCAATACCTCTACTCAGAGAAGAATTCTCAGGCAACTTGATTAATGAATAACTCTGCTATTGTGTTCATTGATGAATTCCACCGCACTAGCCTTTCATGACAGCACAAACTGTGATAAATGCATTGCAAAAACTGTTTGCAATGCATGGGTTGCCAGACACTCTGGTGTCTGACAACGGGACATGCTTTACGGCGAGTTTAAAGACTTTTTGGTGGCAAACCTCATAGCTCATAGTACATCCGCACCATTCCACCCGGCAACCAACGGGCAAGCCGAAATGATGGTGCGGAGTACAAAGGAGACTTTGGGTCGCCTGGTGCAGGGAAACTGGGGCCAGAAGGTGGCGTCCTTTCTGCTGCACCAACACGTCACGCCGCACTCTGACGGGGCGGAGTCTGGCGGAGCTGTTAATGGGCCGACGTCTTACCATCTTACTAGACCGTATGCACCTGGACTTAACTTCTGCCAGGCCGCCTAACAGAGTCCACCAAACAACCCAGGGTGTTTGCTGAGGGGGAGAGTGTATTTGCTTGGAATTATGGTAGCAGACATAAGTGGTTCCCCGCCACAGTAACCCATGTCCTCTGGTCTCGCCACTATACTATTAAGCTTAACGATGGTAGAGTGATGAAGCGCCACGTTGACCTGCTGCGCAAATGGCGGGCAGACTCAGTCCTTGATTCCCTTCTCCAGGTGGCCGATGTACCTGACTCGGATAGTCAGGTAGGGTCCCCGGACCCCGAACCGACTGAGGGCTTCCAAGCACTGGAACCCTCAGGCATAGTCGAGGGCAAGCAGAGCCAAGACTATGCAAATCGGCCACCTGGGGTGTTAATCATTGTTCACTTGCTGCCTGAGTCTCGTATCTAACACCTGGAAAAAAACAACTGCTTTGAACGGCATTTATATCCTGTTCAGGGTTGCCCACTGTCTGAAGAAAAAAATGTCTCCTGTCTCTTTAACAGAGGCTTAATGGGAGGTTGTTTACCTGATGACTATGTTTGTTCATCTACCTATCTTTACGAGGTTCAGCTATCAATTTCCACCACGGAAACGTCTTCGGACAGCGCTGGCTCTTCGGCTTTGAAACGGAGATGAGCACCGCAACCCTAGAGTCGGATTCGACTGGCTTTCGAGCAAGGGAACCTTTACCTTTACGCCTCTATTAAAGGGAGGGACATTTTCCCCCCAGGCCAGTTACCAACCCCCTTATTTCCCCCAACTAAACATTTGATGTCCAAGTAATTTCTGTAATGCCTCTATGCTGTACTAACTGTGGCATTGGTTCCCCCCCCCTGCCTTCTCAACGCACAGAGGCTGGCCAAAACATTCACTAACCTATGAGCCTAAATGAGCTTGCTCACGATCTCTGGAGCTGTAAAAATCAAACATTTTACATATTTAATTTCCCTGTCATTTCTCCTGAAACTGCAAAGTGTCTATCTGGGGGAAGGCATCATGCAGAGGAGTTCTGGCCATCACATAAGAAAATATCTTCATTATCTACATGTATTTCATTATCGGCTGCCCCCTTCACAGAGGCTGACAGGCACATGGGACAGAATATTACAGTTCCGCAGGGCCTGCAAGACGGAGCTCTTCCACCAGGCTTTCAACTAGGAGCCGCCTACCACTACCACCAACCACCACTATTACTAACTTCTGTGGCAAAGGGCTGGCCCCAGTCTGGAGATCGAGCCATATCCTCGTGGGAGACCAGACGATCGATGAGTCGGGAACTTTGTTGTTACATCATATAGCATGTCACTTTGACTTAATGAAGGAATGATTACTGTGAGCACTTTAATTGTATGACTGTTTTT